GATATACTGATCCCAGCATATATACCCATTTATATGAAAAAAAGTGATCTCACAGATTGTTATTTAATTCCTACATATCTAAAAACCATTAATAACTAATATATAACAGAAATAAAAAAAAAGAGTGAAAATCTTAGTAATGTTTATAAAACTATAAGTTACCAACCGATTTTATCCGACATACAATATTATAAAATTAAAAAATAAAAACTTAACTGATGTTTATAGAAGTCTTGTTTACATATTTTTTTAAATCTTCTATTATGATAAATAATTAGTATTTTTTGTTGTTGTGAAATAAAGTTATAAAAATCGAAACTCATATTACATATCATATCAATACATGTGCTATATCCTTCACCTATTCATTTCAACAAAAATGTGAACAAAAGAGAAGAATCTGAATAAATCTAACAGAAAAAATCTGTACGCACTCATTATTGTTGTTCGGTAGTTGTTTTAGGTAATAAATTTTCTATCAAATCTAGTCTAGTCTAACCTGTACTGGTGATCACCTATTTTTAAAATGCTCTATATACTTTGGACTCCATTTACTGTGTCAAACTGTATTTGTATTGGCATCGATTTAAATGAAAATTATTTAAGCCATGGATTTAAGCTGGTTTTTCTAATTTTGATACGGTAGTACAGAGGCCTACTGTACTTTGGAACCTTGGAAGACTTAAATGAAGTTTGTGTCATTCCCCCATACTATAAGCCGTCTTGAGACTTTAGCGGATGTTTTACACAACGTTTCATAATCGTAGACCAGTGAATAGCAACGAAATAAAACAGAGAGCTGTTAACCCACAATTGATGTAGAGGGCAACCCAATTTATTTACAAAAAACAATGTTTAAAAACAAATAAATTTTTCGCATTCAGTTAGAGTTTTCGATGTGATCGTTTTAAACAAGAACTAAGTACAGATTTAAGTCCGTCGGCAAAGTGTCGTTTTCAGCATAAATTATGACTTTGAATGATTTAGTAAACAAGTAGTCTTTAGCAAGAATTATGGCTCTTAAACAGTCAACAAATGAATCATCTGTAACAGGAGCTATGACTTTGAGTCAGTCAAAGAACGAGTGACTTTTAATAAGAGCTATAGTTTCGAGTCGCACATTGTGCGAATATGAACCTATAAAATCTTTATAAAAATTACAAAGAAATATCATCTTGAGTACATCAACACGCTGGTATTTTTCACAGCTGATGTTGGTCAGCAAAATGCAAATAGTAAGCAAATAGCAAATTAGTATGTAGGACTCATTAATTCTCATTAATCTTGACCATAAGCAACGATACAAAGAACAACTATCTACTGATATTGCCTATGGTCACCTTCAACGTTGGTGCTTGACTTTTTACCACTAGTAAAAAGTTTCCAGGTGATCAACACTTTCTTACATCTCTCTATTCAGTAGACCCAATAATTTGATATGTTTAGATATTGCATCTAAAATTTGGCATATATTTTTGATGAATAGAGGAGATGATAACGGACAATTTGGCAAGTTTGTTCAAGCATAAAAGATCCTTCGGAGTTTAGTGAAATAAAAACTAATATCCGTTTAATAAAATTTTACTTTGGGTACATTTTTTTGACAAACTTTAGGTATATAAATAATTATTAAAAAGCATATGTATGCTTTTATGGGCACTTCAAATAAAACACTTTATCTGCATTAATAGCAATAAAGTCAAAAATATTTTTTATACTGTATAAAATCATACAACGCAGAGACTAATACAGAATTAAATTAACTCACAACGGAACCAATAATTCTATGTTGTTAACAGAACTGTCCATTTAAAAGAATATATGAAAAATAAGAATTCGTGACTAGCAACACTATGAATAAAAGAGATGTCCGATTATGAAAATGTTCTTTTAACAGAATTTTCACTGTATTTCCGAGATGTTAACTTAGTCGCTTCTAGAACCTGGTTAATACATGCATGAGTGTGGAGCAAACAAGCAGTCGGTCTTTTACGAACTACCATCTTCTTATAATAGTTTTCATCTTAAAACTAAAGTAACGAATATACCAAATAAAAAGAAACTTCATCTTTAAAACTAAAACAGAACACATGCGTTAGAAGGGAACGAAAACTATATGCAACAACATATGACAAGAAGTGGGTACACAAACCCTTCGGCAAAAGGTATGTTAAATAATATTCACAACCAAAAAGTACCAAAACACTATGAAAATACAAAATTGCCAATACTGATGTGATACTCTGCATAACACACATATTTGACATAGCCCGAAAAAGCGAATTTTGCCGTGCCCGAGACACTCTGCATAACATGGCCCTTAGTGATATTAATTAATGAATACAATTAATGATAGTTTTAATAAGAAATAATACAAGCATTTTTGTTTTAATTTAAAAACTACAAAATACACGGTTATTCTGTTATAGCCCTTTCCGTACTCATTATAAGACTTAGAAATTTCTATTTAAATCAATGTATGATAAGCAAGATGCAGATCTACTAATACATTATAATTTCATTGTTCAATTTTAATAAAAATATGCCAATAAAAGATATTTTTTTCAATAACAAATTGGCTTTGAGAGTCTTGAGCACATTGATTCATTTTTTATTAGGTATTATATATTATTAATACAATAATATTACATAAATTATAATGTAAGAGGTGTTATATACAATTAATAATCAATTTCTGTGAAAGTAAACTAACGAATAAAATTTGTTCCTTTCTGATGATGAGATAATTGATATTATATTTTAATATTACATTTAATATTAATATTGCAATTATCAAAAGTTCATTAAATCTTAATGAAAAACTATATATTTTTTGTTATTACCTTATATTATTAATCATCATCATTGACACGATTGACTGTACGATTAACATTGAGTTTTGGCTTTTGGAATTACTTTCATTCATACTTTTTGTTTGATGTTTTAAATTTTAAAACATACGATTATACAGAAAAATATATATGAATGCTCAAAAATATGAGTTACTAATACTTATTATGTAATTGTGCTAATACATCACTAAGGCATGTAAATAGCTTTTTTTTTTTTGCAAATTTCAATGTATCTTCTTATATAAAATTAAGATTATAAAAATCTATCTTTTATATTCGGTTCTGCGTTTGGAACTCGTCTAGTCAATACCAGCACTATTTAAAACAACAACAGAATTGTAACGAAATAAGTTCCGAAACTAGTTTCTTTTATTTAACACAATAAACAATTTGATGTTATTTATATATGATGGCCAATATTATATACTATTTATTCAATAGATAGATTGTCATGAAATTTTTAGATAAATAATGATATTTTTTAAAAGAATCATACTATTATTATTGAGTTATTATTTATCAAGTAAAAATTTAAATCCACAAGCATTGTGTGTATCATGATATGACGGACTGAAACGTGCTACCTAAGTATTGATATCTTATTGTAGAAGTTGAAAATACTAACAAAGCTTTAATAACTTATTCCAAAAAGGTTTTTTTAAGACATGCACATTATATATTCTTCCATGTTTTACTAAATGATTGTTTTTAATTTCGAAACAAATGCTTTATAATTGTGTTTAATATCGATTTCATATACATAACTTCCAGCTCAACAATATGTTTCAATAGGTGTAAAATTTCTCTAATCTGAGCACATTAAAATAATAGCTTATCTTAAAAATGGCATACGAAACAACAACATAGTTGGTTTATTTAACTTATGGTACTTCTTTAAAACCAATAAGTATCTCACCAGGCAGGGTTGCCATAACTATAAATTTGTCGATTGTGGATGATATTTGGGTTATACTATGTTCAGACAGCCAAATTTTCTTAATTTCGTAAAAATGAAATTAAATTAATTTTGAAAGTGTTCATACTGTCCCAAATTAAGGATATGAAATGGGTTTTGTTTGCAAATCGAATGTTGAAAATTACATACTCCAAACACAATTTGTATCCGGAAAATTTCAAAAGTTGATTATTGTAACTATAAAAGGTGGCATTTAGTAGTTTTATTACTTTTCGGGAATTTCAGGTATGTAAATTATTGTTTTTCATTCTATTTTAAATTATAAACAACTTAATTTTGCTAAAATGAAGATGAAATTGAGATTTTTGTGAAATTTAGGTATATTTGAATAGATTAAACATCCAATATAAAATATGAACACAATTTCAACATACAAATTCTGCTTAAATATATATTTGATTATTATACGCAAATAATTAATACATTTTAATATAATAAATAAAAGAAAAATAAATTTAAATAATTAAAACATGTAATACCACTTAAACTTTTGCTATTCAAAGTAGTGCTTATTCCATATTGTCTTTTTAAAAAATGCTTGCTAAAGATTTAGCGTGATATTAACTTTTAGCTTAGTTAAAGACTACTACATATTGTTCAAAATTAAGTTATCTCTTAAAATCTTCTCTAGAAATTCCTTATTTTGAGATTTTCTGTTCGCACCATAAAATAAAATAATTATGTTTCAAAACAAAAGTGACAAAAAGTTTAAATTTACTGTATCACCCAAAATTGTATCCCATCTATTGTGAATGTTGTTTAAGCTAAATATCATGTCAGCTATTTTGTAAACTTCTTGAACAAGTCGTCAAGCATTAAACTGTTATAAGTCTCTATGCGAACACATTAATCATTTTAGTTTGTACCGTACGTTAACCGACATTATACGAAGTAAAGTCGGTGGTTCATGAACATTTGAATTTGCAATGAATAAGTTAAGATTTCAAAATAACAATGTTGACATTTCTTATGGAAATAGTATATAATTCTTTTCGTTTTTTATTTAATTTTATGAGGTATAAGGTATATTTTATATGAACATAAATTTGTGCATTAAAATCCATCGATCAGTTTGAACGTTTCTCTCTTAATTAATATTTAAAAAGTTATTATTTTTCTATGATTCTCTTTTTAAAGACTTAAAAAATAATCAATCTTTTTTCTTATTTCAGTATCGTGATATTTGTGACAAAGGTCAAAGTCGTGATATATCCTCTTCAACATCTTCATCTTCGTCGTCTTCTTCGTCGTCGTCGTCCTCTTCCTCCTCCTCATCGTCGTCGTCAACATCATCAACAAATACAACAGCGGCGACAAGAAACAACAACAATACAACAAATCAACCAACAACAACTTCAACACGTTGCAACCGTTGTGCCACCGACAACTGCTCTATACATCCAGTACAGCAGGGTGAGGTATCTTCAACAGAACCGCCACTGCCCGAACCATCATTGCTCAACGGTCAAGTACCCGAGATATCAGCATACTTTGAGGCACTGGAACATTATATATCATCAGTTGGTTGGGTCCTGCTTCAAATTAATGGTGACGGCATTATTGAGTCGTGTACGCAAAATATACGTGAACTTATTGGCTATGAGAAGCAGGAATTATACCGAAAACCGCTATACATGTACCTGTTTCCGGGTGATCAGGCCAAATTACATCCAATCATAAATAATATGTCGTACAGCGGTAATAATGCTGGCGGCGGTACTGGCGGCGGCACTGGCGGCGGCACTGGCGGCACTGGTAGTGGCGGCATACAAAGTAACAATCCATGGGGTGAGCAAGATGATGGCAGTAACAGCAATGCCCTACAGCAGCCAACAAGCGCTGGCAATACAGCGCTTGTTGGCGTTGCCAGTGGTAATGCGACCAAAGTGAAACGTAGTATTTCAACGAAGGTTCGTATGCTTGTAAAAGACACGCGTGCTACTACACAAACATCACCAGCAACAGGAACATCTTCACCAGGTCACTCAAATGATGCTATGGACCAAAAAGCTTTACGACCACTTGGTCATCAAGAAAAATATGAAGAAGTCGTGCTCATTGCGGCACCGGTAAAAGGTTCGTTTATGAATATTTATTTCTGTGAATATTTGTTCAATATTAGTTTTCGTTTGTTTTGTAGATGATGGGGATTCTGCTTCCTCAGTGTTGTGTCTTATAACACGGCCAGAAGATGAGTCACCACTCGAAATGAACATACAACAGCATGTGCAACAACAGCCTATTGAGCAAATGACATTTAAGCTGGACATGCATGGCAAGATACTCACTTTAGATGCAACAACAATACGCGAACCATTTAAACAGCATATGTCCACAATGATTGGACGTTTGCTACAGGACTTTTGTCATATGCAAGACTTGCAGGCGTTGAAGACGCATTTACGTGATATACAGGAAACGGCAACGGCTGTGAATGCTGTTACTGCAGCACAATCGCCTGGTGGCGGTGGTACTATAAACCCGCAAATGCCAAGTGTTATTTCTCGTCCATTTCGTTTGAAATTGGGCACACCTGATATATACATGCATGTGAAGGCTAATTCGAGACTTTTCCTGAATCAAACGCCGGGTGAAAGTGATTTTATAATGTCGGTACAGACGATACTCAACACAGAGAACGATATGAACAGCAACAATACAGTAGTGACTGGTATCAATGCAGTTGGTACAAATACCGCAGGTAGTAATTCAAGTGGTAGCAATCTTAGTAATACAAGCGTAATATCAGCATTATCACCAGGTTCATCACTTGTTTCATCTTTGGTCTCAACGCTCTCAATGGACTCAATTGTCAACAACAACTCATCATCATCTCCTTTGGTGGGTAATGCACAAAGTGTAAGTGGTTTTGTAGGTGGTGGTAATGGCAATGGTAATAGTGGCACACCACTAACAACAACACAAACTACAACAGTTGGTGGACCATTAATGACATCGGCGGTCATCAATGGCAACAGCAGTCAACAGCGAAATTCAACAACAACAACAGCTTCTAATAATTCCGCCATTGTAAATTCATTTACAGCATCACCAGCTGGGACTGAGGCACCCTCATTCTATAGTAATGATCCTTTTGATTTTGATTCATTAGCACATTCCTCTTTCGAAATGGATCCCGCTGTGACGGGCTGGAATGATTCACGTCCGAATTCACGCGCTTCTGTCGCTACACCGGTAAGCACACCACGCCCACCATCCGCCGGACATGGTTTTAGTCCGGCCGTATGTGCTTCACCGTCGACTCCATATCAATTATCTTCACACTCTGCAGCTAGCCTACCATCACCACAATCTAATGCCAGTCAACCAGCTGGTGGTCCTGCCTACGGCTTTAGTTTTCCTTCATTTGATATCAATGAGAAAACTGATAAAGATAATTTGAATAATAATAATAACAGCAACAACAACAACAATAACCCACAACAAATAGGAACAATGGCTGGAAGTATGTCAAATGGTGGAGCTGTACTTTTAGGTAATACAATAGCTGGCAGTGTATCACAACACCAGCAACATAATACACCACCACATCCACAACCAGATTCAGAGCGTTTGCGTCATTTGCTTACAAATAAATCACATTCACTCACATCTTCCCTGCTCGGAACAGACAGTAGTGATGACAAGGACAATAATCTGTCAAAGGTATTAAATAAAGACTTGCGTTTTTATTTTATTTTTTTTTTTTTTTTTGTATTATGTATTCATGGTTTGATTTACATATGATTTTTTCATAAAAGGTTATATATTGAAATGAATAAATACCATGTCATATAATAAATATATATTTTTATTGTAGTTCTACAAACAGGGTCTGGTTAATGCAGATGAAGATAAAGATGGAAACGGACCAGGTGGTAGTAGCTCGAGTTGCTCGAGTATATTTAAAATGTCTGCTGGTGGACCAAATTCACGTTTTGGTAGTGGCTTGCAAAAATCATCGAATTCTAGTAATCCTATGCTGCTTTCGGTAAGCTTAAAAATTTTCTAAAACATAATTTTTTGCAACTCATCTTCTGTTACAGTTATTAAATGAAAGACCTGATGATGATGAAAGTAAGGGTGGTGCAACAACAGGTCGTCAAAGTGAACTATTACGACAATTGCAAAAGGATGATGGCCATCACGGGCATAGTCATAGTCACGGACATGGGTCCCACTCCTCAAATTTGTCAACTGAGGAACTTAAACGTATACTCAAAATACAAGGTGATCCTTCAATGACTCGCAAGCGTTCATTAAATGAACCAGATGATGGTATTTCGCCAAAACGTTCTGAAGATCGCCCCTCAAAATTACGTGCAAAGAACAAAATGCTCGCCTCACTATTAGAGAATCCGCCAAAGATTCCAGTGCTGCAAACACCGCCCCAAGTTAAAACTATACCTGATATAACTTCATCAACGGTGAATCGTGTTAGTTCCACACTTGGTTCTCTTGGTGCAGGACCTACGACAAGTAGTCTCGGCATGTCAACAAAGAGTGCAACACTAACAACGACACAAGCCAATACCGCTAATATAGTCGGAACAGGACGCGGTGGCGGTCGTAAACAACAACAACAGCAGCAACAGCCTTCCGATGCCTACCTCACACAGCACCAGCAACAGCAAAATTTAGTAGCTGCTGGTGTTGCAAATCTACAACGACCTCAACAACAGACGCAAATGAGCTATGCGTCAGTGGAGCATTCATTCGTATCGTCACCACTAAATACAACAGCTACCTCAGCCACAGCAGCTGCAACATCAACAGTTACATCGCAAGCTGCTGCGCAACAATTACAATCACTCAGCGCAGCGGATGGTGATCCTGAATTATCACAATTATTGGATAGTGTTATGGATTATGTAGCAGATGATCAGCCTTTTGTTGCAACAACACCAACAGCAATAACGGGTCTAACGCAACAAGAAATGAACGAACGTGTCGCTATTAGCGCTATACAAAAATCACTTATGGTGGAGACATCGGTGTACGGAACTGGGCAACAAGCACAGTTACAGCAACAACAACCACAGCCACCTGCTTATCCTGGTAATATGTTAGGTAATTTAGTGCAACAGCAGCAGCAACAACAACAACATCAACAGCAAATGTTGCAATTAATAAGGAACAGTCAAGCTGGCGGAGCTCAACAGCAAGCATCAATGCAACAGTTGGTGGAAGTTATGCGCGCCAATGTGAATCAGGTATATATAATAAATTGTAAAGATAAACATATATATATATACTAACGAACCTATTCTGTGTACTTAACAGATTTGTCAAATTCTTTAATAAAAGAATGATTTGATTATTACATAGCAGAAAGCTTTTTGGTATTCTGGACACATCTTGACAAATTTCAAAACTCAAGTACCTAGTGCTTCTCACCACACTATGGTGTAAAGTGTTTTGTATAGAAAACTGTTCGCAATTATTCGTAACTGCTCGTAAAAAATGCTTGTAAAGAGCATATATTTTAAGTTGTTAAAAGTTGCATTTTTCATGCATTCAAATAACAATAAAAAATATGCTTGTAAAGAGCGTATATTTTAGTTAAGAATATTTGTCATGCATGCAAATAAAAAAAATGCTTGAAAAGAGCATATTTTTATAGTTGTCAACAGCATTTGTAGTATTGACAACTAACAAGGAAAAGAGCTTTTTATTTATGTTACAGAATACCAAAACCTTTACAGAACTCAATTTTGACAAGTGTCAATGTTTGACAAGTTTATAAAGTGCACAGAATAGGTCTGTAAATTTGATTTTATCGTCAGTTAAAACGGTAGTGACTATTTTACTTAATAAGGTTTCGAAAGTTGTGAATTCTAACAACCAAATTTTTACTTTTTTTAATTAATGAATATTTGGCTGACCGTACAGCTGTTTCAACTATTGCTAAATATTTATAAAACATATTTATATGTCTTGGTTGTCATTTTCGAATAATTAATTTTTCTTCAGGGATTTCAGCGACCCCCGCCCATGTATACAGCGCGTGGACGAGTGCCGATGAATGCAGTTGCTACTCCTGGCGGTAATGTTATATCACCAGCACAACAATATCGCGCTATGAAACAACAACAAGCACAAAAAGAACGTCTGTTGCAGCAACAACAAAAACAGCAATTATTAGTGCCTGAAAGTGCAACGGCACGCAACGATCAATTATGTGAGTTTGAAGAAAGTTAATAGATAACAAACCTCAAAGCATTTAATTTAAATATTAAAATTTTTCAATAATTGCCAGTGTTCTCTTCTATGAAAAGATTTTGTTGTTATCATAGCTGTCGAGAACCATTTTTACTTCATAATTGATTTTTGTTATAAATAAATTGAAAATTTATACATTCTTGTATAGATACCTCTTATACATAAAAGTACACTTTTTTATATCTGATATTAATTACTTGATTGCCTTAGGTTTAAATCCAGGTATTAATAATATTGGCACTTTGTTGAATACCACAGTAGCTCCAAACGTTTCGTTATCACGCACAAATATGCCATCAGATTCTCAATTGAGTCCCAATTTTGCTCAAAGCATGATGCAACAGCAATTAAGTCCAGGACAGCGTAATGCACTATTTAGCCCACAACCAAATCAAGGTAAGCAAAGTCATATTAAACGCTACTGTCTACAGTGTTCATAGTTAAAACGTAATTTCCTTCATCTCCTTAGGTTATGTACCACAATATCCGCAGAATGCACAACGTTTGTCACCGCAACAACAACAACAACTGAACCAACAAGCTAATGCCCAACAGCAGCAGCAACTTTCTTTCCAGAATGCACAGGGTCAGGGTGGTGTTAGTGTTGCAGCACAGCTGTCACCACGTCAACCAACCTACGGTGCTGGTAACGCTGGTGGTAATGCCGGCGTTGTACAATCACCAGGCATGTCGAATGCCTCACCACAGCAGTGGGTAGCTGCAGCAGCAGCAGTTGCAGCCAATAATGCCAACAATGCAGCACAACGTGGCGGTCACTCATTGCAGCAACATAACCCCATGTTGAGTGCGCAATTACAGGTAAATGTGAGTTGTATTACTATGTTTATAAGATATAAGCCATATCTGATCAATAATTAAATGTATTTTCATTTTCTTAGGGTGTAAGTCCGTATAATGCGCGCCAATATCAAAGTCAACGACGTGGTCTTAACTCACCAAGTGGTGCAGTGCCTGGTAGTATGACAACAGTTACTTTACAGCGTCAAAACTCGTTTCAAACAAATGATAGCGGTTTCAGTGGTCCATCAACATCGCCATCGCCACAATCTCCATACGGTGCTGGCACCACTGTATTTCAACAACAACAAATGCAACGCATGCAACGCCAAAGCAGTGTGCCACAAGCAACACAACATTTGCCTGGTGAGTAGTAAAAAAGTTTTTTAAACTGTTTTTATTGTATTTTAAGTTACCTTTTTCGCTTAGGCAGAAATTTAAGTAGACCTAACCAAACAGTCTATATAAGCTATTAGTATAAAAATGATATTATTTCGACAGAATTTTTTAATTATATGTAGTTGTTTTATATGAACATGAATTGCCTGACTGTAAAGACACTAAATAAAAGTTATTTAGCTCGGGTGAGTATTTACTGCCTTTGGAAACAATTTTTGGCGGTTTCATTGAGTTCAAAGCTATTTAGGTTACATGTAGTTTCAGTTAATAATATTCATAACATGAGTATTAAAAATAAATATTTTTTTGTCTAAATAAATTTTTACTTGCGTTGTACACAAATTGAACGCAGAAAGATTGCTACAAACTGAAAATAACTTCTTAAAATCGCTTACTTAATTAGTTAGTTGTCTCATAAGGTAATAAGTTAATAAGTTAATAATTCATTGCGAAAATTATTAAATGTTTATAACTTTATTAATAACAAAACTGTAAAGAATATATTGTCTATAGCAAAATTAGCGTACTACAATACTTTAATGGTACAACATGTAGTTAAAGGAATTTATGCCCATTACTACTACTAAACTAACTGCTCCACTAATTAAGGAACTTAAAGTACTAAAATTTAGGAGTATAATATTAAGTAACTAAATCAAAAAAAAATCAAGAAAAACTTACAAATATACATATGCAGCACTCTCGCTCATACACAATTTTTATTTTTCGCTTCAAATTAAATTAACAAAACAGGCTCACCACGCCCTTTTGGCGGTACAAACTCTTCCAATCTTGATAATGGAGGCGTCGTCGGTGTCAATAATACCCTTAGTGGTAATATTAGCATCAATGGTGGCAACGGTGGCGTTATACCAATCAGTGGCAATGGTTATGGAGGTGCTGCCGGCATGATGTACAATAATATGCCGTCACAGGGTGGCCCACATACACCAAATGATTTCTATGGTCGCACACAGACCGGTAAGCCGAAGAACTGTTCATATAAAAAGCACAAAAATCCCCGCAAACAATTAATTTTTTAATGTAACAATTAAAAAAAATATATATATATACATATCTAAAACAAAACTGTTAATAATAATTATGCAAGAAAAAACTGTTTGATGTTCAATACATATCTACATGCATATATAATTGTTTATATCTTCATTTATATATACCATCTAATATATATATTATCATATAAACTACACACATATAAATTCTCAGCCAAATACATATACAATTGCATATTCTACTACATATGTATATGTAAGCTAAATGTTGTGTTAACATAAAGACGGTCTTTATTTATAATATCCTTTCATGTTCATCATCAATTATCACCCAAGGTTTCTTGTATATAGGTTATTGTTTTACAAACCGGACGGATTTTGGCAAAAAATGACCTCATGATCTCCGATTTGGCTAAAAATTTTTTTATGAGTTCCTTTCATAAAATTAAAAGACGCGTATCTCGGGAAAAAATTTTGTAATTCTTTTCCTAGGAGATACGAACCCATAGGGTTTTGAGAATTGGCATTGTAGACACATTTTCAAATGGCTACATCTCAAGTTCTATAAAAGATAGAAACTTGAAATTTACAGCGTTTCAAAGATAATTGATTGAACTTTTATGAAATAGTTTAAACAATTAAAATTGTTTATATTTAAGTACTAATATTAACCGTTAAATTTCAAAACTATTTTTTTTCTCCATACAGTTTTGAAAATTATTATTTATATATTATTTGGATTCACTTTTAAATTTTACTACGAAATAAAAATTTTCGAGATACCATCTTTTTTTGAAATTTTTTAATATTTTTTTTTCTCCCGCAAAACACATCAAGCACATGCGTACTACATTTCCATTAAATGAATTTTCAAAGAATATGATATAAATATTCTTATATAATATTTTTGATTTCGATTAGTAATAAAATTCTATATAAAACTCAAACATTTCTGGACAATATTGTCATTAGAAGTACTTTTAAAAATTTATTTATCCTTCATATCAGACCAAACACGTACACACGATTTTTCAGTACAAAAAAAAAAAAGGTTTATATCACACAAATTTTTGTTTTTACTTCTAATTCAGATTAATATATAAATTCTACTTAAAAAAAAAATATTTCCACTGTGATATTTCGTTTAGAAGTAATTAAAAAAAATTAATGTTTCAATGTTTCAATCCGTTGAAGTTGAAAATGCATCCAAACAAGGCCAAAGTAAGGCAAGTTTCAGATTACCATATATTCTGCGTATGTTGCGGATGCCTACGACTAAAAAAAATCTGAAGACAAAAATATGTTATACTTGCCGACTTAAGCTGGAGATGAGGGCCAAAAATAATAAGAAAAATAAAGAAGGTATATTGGCAAACAATAGCCAGTCTTTGAACGAGGAAAATATACAACCATCAAGTAGTAGCAGTTCGGCTACATACGAAACTAAAATGAGAAAAAGTGCTGTTTGTCCATTAAACAAAGCATATATTGAGGTAAAAGCAATACCCCAATTACATCAAAAAAACTTAAACAACAGCAATATAAAAATGAAAAACTAAAGGATAAATTTTTCCAAATTCCTCTCGATGAATCCAACAATAGCCATGAAAGAAGATGACTTTGCATCAATTTTAAAAAATCTACAAGAAAAATTCAAGGGCACAGCAAATAGGACTATGAAAATAAAAATATTGAGTGTGGTACATAATTGGTCGTTTCGGAAAATTATAACTTACTTCCCAAACGCTATAAAACATATGATTTAAGTAGCTAAAAAGCTTGTTTCAGAAAAAGGAATCTTAGAAGACCCAAAAGTAGAAGATGCAAAAATCCACGCATCGCTAGGAAAACATTTAACCGATGCAATTTTAAATTTTTACGAATGTGATGAAAATAGTCAAGTAATGCCTGGGAAAAAAGACTGCGTATCCGTAAAAATTGACGGAAAAAGGACACAAATGTAAAAACGGCTCATTCTAAGCAATTTGAAAGAGTTGCATACTCTTTTTAAACTCAACCATCCGGACATTGAATGTAGTTTTTCAAAACTTGCATCATTATGACCACAACATTGCGTTCTTGCAGGAGCAAGCGGCACACATTCAGTTTGTGTGTGCTCCATTCACGAAAACGTACGATTAATGGTAGATGGAGTGAATGTAAAGGCACTGACTGCATGCAGTAGAAAACCGATAAATAACTATAAAGATTGCCTACAGCGCATGATTTGCAATACTTCATGCACAGAATGTTTTCTAGGAACCTGCGCCAAATGTCCTGGAACTGAAAATATCAATGAACAACTTCTGAAGATATTTGATGACAACATGATTGACACCGTTACATACAAACAATGGGTTCGTGAAGAGAGAAGCACATTAAAAACGTTGACATCCGAAATAGACGAATATTTGCAATCCTTAACAGATGGTTTAGACAAATTGCTGTTGCATTCCTTTATCGTTAAAAAACAGACAGAGTTTTTAAATGATAAGAAAAACAACTTAGCAAAAAATGAATGCATAGTTTTGTGTGATTTTTCCGAAAATTATGTTTTTGTTGTTCAAAGCTCTGTTCAAGGTATTCACTGGAATAATAATCAGGCAACAATTCATATTTTTGCAATATACCACCGTGATGAAAATAAAAAACTACAAATAAAAAATTTTGTCTGCATATCTGACTGTTTACATCACAACACAACTGCTGTACATTTGTTCCAAAAATACGCGATCAAATTCATTAAAAAAATTAGTACAGATATCAAAAAAATTTTATATTTTTCCGATGGATCGGGTTCACAATACAAAAATAAAAAAAATTTTATTAATTTAACTCATCACAAAGCAGACTTTGGTTTGGAAGCAGAATGGCACTTTTTCCCAACGTCATACGGCAAAGGACCATGCGACGGCTTAGCTGGTACCTTAAAGAGGAATGCTGCAAGAGCTAGTCTTCAACGAATACATAATCCAATTCAAACACCAAAGTAATTATTTAACTGGGTTAAGGAATGTTCACCAAATATTGTGTGCCATTTCTCAACATCAAAAGACTATGAAGCTGAAGAAAATAAGATTAAACACCGTTTCGAAGCAGCTACATCAGTTAAAGGCACATTAAAATATCACTGCTTTATTCCAAATTCCAAAAAAGTATTAATGGCAAACATATTTTCTTCTTCAGACATTACAGATTATGTATTAATTATGAAATGAGTATTAATAAAATCGCTATAAAAGCCATACATAAAAATAATATTTTGTTTTTAGCTCCTTACAGCTTATTTCCTATAACATTTCTGATCTGTGAAGAGTATTTTTGCAACTGTAGCAGAATAATAAATAAAACCAAAAAATGTAGGGGTAATTATGTGCTGCAGTTATGTAGGTAGTTCAAAA